ATAAAATGAACTTATAAACAATATGAGGAACATCATAGAAACCCTTAACTATTTGAAATACCTCGTGCTTATAAAAACGTCAGGTTTCGGTTCACTCTTCGTGAAACCGTGCACCCATCATCTGAAATCCTGTCTATTTTGTGAACTGTGGTGTGATTGTCTTGGACACACTTGGAGCGACACCTGCTTTTATTTGCCTTCGTTTTTAACATATATTTACTTTTATAATATTTACTGACAATCACTTTCCAAGTCCACTAAAGATTTTAACACACGGGGTAAGTACTATTGAAATATTAAGTGTCATATATTACATAAGACTAGTCATAGGCCTATCAATGTAATTTTGTAAACAAAGCTTAGTTAAATGGGACAGGATGGGTAAGAGTGTATTTTGAAAATTAAAGTTTAAAACTTGAATTAACATCAAAAGTTTCTAAATGAAAAGCAGAAATATTAAAATCTTTATTAAACATAGGCCATAGCTAGTTTCAGATTTATTAAACATAGGCCATAGCCAGTTTCAGATTTATTAAACATAGGCCATAGCTAGTTTCAGCTTTATTAAACATAGGCCATAGCTAGTTTCAGATTTATTAAATATAAGTCATAGCTAGTTTCAGATTTATTAAACATAGGCCATATCTAGTTTCAGATTTATTAAACATAGGCCATAGCTAGTTTCAGATTTATTAAACATAGGCCATAACTAGTTTCAGATACATGACAAACAACTCCTTTCTTCGGTTTCCACTGGTCCCGCCTGATCGCATGAAGCCACTTTCTAGATAATTCCAGATTTAAAGGCCACAAATGACTACCTCTCTTACAACATACAGGCCACGCAACAAGTAGTTTGAGGCACTTTCGAGCTATTATATTTATAATTATTATATTATACTTATTATTATTATATTATACTTATTATTATTACATCATAGTTATTATTATTATATTATATTTATTATTATTATTACATCATATTTATTATTATTATTATATTATACTTATTATTATTACATCATATTTATTAT